ATGATGAAATCACAAAGACTGACACACAAGTTCAGTTTCTGCTGTGGTGATGATGAAATCACAAAGACTGACACACAAGTTCAGTTTCTGCTGTGGTGATGATGAAATCACAAAGACTGACACACAAGTTCAGTTTCTGCTGTGGCGATGATGAAATCACAAAGACTGACACAAGAACAAAGGTCGTCGCTACAAGTTAAAATTTGTCACTTGTCTGGGTTTTAAAAAATTGTTGTTAGTAGTTTTGTTTTAATTTACTTTTTTCTCAGGTGGGTTAAGCAGGTGTAACGCCCCTATCAACACACTTTAGATCATGTAGGAGGCGCGCTTCCCATCCTGCCTGTCGGGGTGAACCTGGGCTGAGAGGGATACAACGTCCCAGCAGAAAGACTGAGATACTCTATAACACTTTGACCCACACAAGAATCAAACTCGGGTCCCCTGCATGAAGCAGCGAAGCGCCTAACAGCTAGACCATGTATCTACAATAAGGGAGATAAGTTCTTCCCAACGTAAAAAACTTATCTTTCCAAATTTTACAAAACTTATGTAAGTTGTGTTTCTACCATAAAACATACAAATCAAGATTACAACCAAAAAAAAAATTTTTTTGTAATAACCACCAAACTCTCATATCTACACTGGACATTTTTCAGAATTTCTACCCTGTTAGATACATAGGATTACCTCTTGATCGTAATCTTCCCAACCAACCTCACTGCCCACAACCATCTTAATCTTTATTTATTTCTTCTACTTCTACTTCTCTTCACGAAATGTGTCACGGCGTGGTAGAATCAGGCGCTCGTCAATTTTTGGGCATTTGGAGTTATTGGTATCATCTGAAAGCTTGTTCAGTTGTCTTGCTTTTGGTAAAAAAATATCTATTTATGTTGAATAGAAGTCGAGATATTTGCGACTGAAGGAGGTGGAGGTCACCTGGTTTCAGAGGTAAAATTAGTGAGAAAATGGCCACCAAAGATGAGTTATTTCCTAAGCTTGAGAGTCTGTGGAAACGGTAAATTTACATTTTTTGTGCCTTTAATCAACGTTTTTCAGTAAAAATCCACACAGAAATGAGTTCTTTAGTCTTGAACCAAAAAACGAAATTTCGATAAAAATTCAGAAATCTGTGGGGAAATGCAAGTTTCTTCACTTTTATTATTTTGACAAGAGCCTGATCCCACCACGCTGCCTCACATATTTTCTCCTCCGCAGATATGCACAAGTACTTCATGAGACAAAGACAAACAAACAAACAAACAATTACTGTTATTATCAGCATCATTATTATTTTTATCATTATTACTAGTACAATAATTACTATCACTGTAACTGCTATTACTATTACTATTATTAGTAGTAGCAGTTGTATATAATTGTTAATATTATTATTATTATAATATTGTTATTATTATTATTATTATTATTATTATTATTATTATTATTATTATTACTATTATTACTATCATTATTAGTAGGCCTACTATTATATTTATCATTTCTATTATTATCTTAAATTTCTAAATCATTATGATTATGATTATTATTATTGTTGTTGTTATTGTTGTTGCTGTTATTCTATCAGCTGTAGCCCACACAAAACAAAAAACAATCACCACCGGCCACAAACCCTTCACGCTAGCCATACAGACTACTGAGGCATTCAGTGTAGAAATAGTCATACAGTAAAACCGCTGTATAACGTACATGGATTATCATCATACTATTGGTTATAATATCGTTCACTTTTTGAAGCCCAAAGTCCTATTTTGTTGTTGTTATTTCTCTTTTTTGCTAACACACATCACGAATAAGACATTCAAAACCTTGCGTCAAACCTGCGTTTGGAAATTGACAGAGGCAAAAAGAAAAACAGTTTCCTGGATGTGAACATCACAATTGTAAACTCTCTCATTCAACACCATTTCCCTCAAGCCTCAGCATTACCTCAGATGCTATAATTCGCATATATTTTTTATATGCACACAAACAGCACTTCCCAAATAAGACGTCGGTGTAGAGTAGGACAACAATTTGTCCACATACAGTATTTGAAAAAAAAAACCAACAACAAAAAGAACAGATAATACATGTATAATCTCCAGACCACATCGATATTCTCTTCTCCATTTCAAAGTCTTGCAACAATGTTATACTAATGCCCATCAAAATATCATCAAAAATAAGCCACGGAATGAAGGGACATTAATGAAAAGCCATCCCTGAACATCCTCGGCGTTGTGGAAGAAACATCTACAGTCACATCAAAACATTCTATTAATTTTATATCACAACTTAAAATCAACCGTAGGTACGACCCAAAAAATGTTGGTGATTATTCCACCCCCATCAACACAATTTAGGTCATTTAGAAGACAGAATTCCAACCCTGCCTGTCTGGGCCGACCCAGGCTGTGAGGGGATACAACATTCCAGCCGAAACACCAAAATAATCATTAACATTTTTCTCCACAAACGGAATTCTAACTCAGATCTCCAGCTCGCTACAGCGAAACAGAAACATCGAAATGCTAAACGACAGACGCCAGAGTATTCAGACCAAAGGTCTAATCAAGCCAAACACCTTCCTAGACACACACAGACAGTGAGAGATCAGAACATGATTTGACGAGCTGATTGTGTGAGTAAAAATGGCATCGAAGGCCTACGATATGAGTAACGAGATTCAACGGCTTCAAGGCAAGAGGAAGACCAAGAAGAAAAATGGGTTGACGGAATCCAAGGGACTCTCCAGACCCCAAAGGAACAAAGCTTCTCAACACCTCGCAGTACAAGAGTACAGGAAAAAGTCATGGAAGCATTTTACTAAAATAAAGCAGTATATGTGCCAGCACCCCTCTTTCTTCTTAACCCTATCCGTACGTCGTGTTTTACTATCGTATCCATACCACGTGGGGAACTCTGTGTCACCACTTAACCCTATCCGTACGTCGTGTTTTACTATCGTATCCATACCACGTGGGGAACTCTGTGTCACCACTTAACCCTATCCGTACGTCGTGTTTTACTATCGTATCCATACCACGTGGGGAACTCTGTGCCATCACTTAACCCTATCCTTACGTCGTGTCTTACTATCCTATCCATACGACGGGGGGAACTCTGTGCCACCACTTAACCCTATCCGTACATCGTGTTTTACTATCGTATCCATACGACGTGGGGAACTCTGTGCCACCACTTTCCAAAGAGGAAATTTACTCATTAATCTAATCCGTATGCTTTGCACAGCAGTCTGTCAAAATGATTTTTTGAGAAATACTGAAAGTTTCAAAGAGATCTTTGTACTTGAAGTATTTTAACATGTGACAAATACAACCCTGGGGGTACAAATGACCCCAACTCAGTAACTGTTACTGTTTTACTCCCCTCTCACAACAACTTAGATCATTAGGGAGGCAGGCGGCCAACCCAGGCTGAGAAGGACACGACGTCCCAGCACACAGACAGAGAAAGTTGATGATAAAAACACTTTCTTATACTGGGCCAACGAACCAAAAATTTATACATCGTATGTATATATATATAGTATGCTTAAATCAAACACAGTTAATCCAAAAACAATGGTAAACTGAATGAAAATAGAATCTCCAATATTTTTCTCCACTATTTGAGCTATAATTTAACTGAAAACAAGGCCCAACAGCAGAAAATCTCACGGCCCTCCAGATTTCGGTTTAAAGACACTGCTGTCTTCTCAAACACAAATCATTGTCATGAAGAAAAACAAAGTACCGGTCCCAGTAATAATAAATAATTCATCACCAGTTTTGAGTAAACAGATCAAACCTGGCACATCGAGTCGTGTAAACCACACAAGGAAATTGCACCTGCATCGTCGGAATAAAAACTTCAACAACAAAACTCCTGAGGTCACCGTGCAGCTGAAGTAGGAGATCTAAATTCACCAAAAGGAGAGAAAGCAAAATATCGACCAGCTCTTAAAATGTGCTGGGCCCAAACTTTAGAAAAAACAACACCATTTTGCAGTTTCTTCATCAGTGATAGATCAGTTGCATGTGTTCTAGAAATATTTTGTCGAAATTCAAATCCTAAAAATGTTGAAAAAAGCCACAAAAAGGTATACAGTGTTGGTATAAGAACATTTGTTAGTTAGAAGAATGGAGCAGTTTGTTTTTTTCCTATCTCTCCTGTAAAGTTTTGCTTTCTTGGCTCGATACATCTAAACAGCTTGCCGACGAAATACACAAAATAAATCTTCATAAGCACAAATGACAACTTTTAAAAAAGAAACAGACTCACTCCTCAGGGGGATGTCAAGATGGTGGGCACTAGCCGAGTGTCACCCCACCCCCCTCCCACTTCCAAACCTTTTACACACACTTTTTCTGCATTCAAAAAATTCTAACTATTCAAAGTAGACCTGTCCTGTAGCACAAAATCTCAATTTACGAAGTAGATTTTTTTTGTACATTATAATTCATAAATCTGGTTTTGGAAGTCAATAATATTTTTTCAGCATCGACAAGTCCGTGAGGTGCAACACTAGAAAACAGAGAATACGTATTTTCTGATAAAAAAAACAAAAGTTCATACTCAGACTCCCATCATATAAACGTATTATAAATACATTTTTTAAATACCGGTACTGGTCGGCAGGTTATGCATGTGGGAATAAAAATTAAATAACAGCACAAAGGCCTTTTTAAATGTAATAAAATAACACGGGAGAGTTTTCTTATATAGAATGCATGAAACAATCAAACAAATCACCACATGACTTAAACGCAAGTCACTTCTGAGGTATTTATCAACAATCTCTTCGAGACATCAAAACTCACCTGGAAATGGCACTAAACAAAATTGTTTTTTTAAATATTTAAAACAAAAAAAATCTTTGCTTAACAAAATCATTGCGAGTCGTCCAGATCTCGGACAAAATTGTTGACGATTTCCACAAACTCGAGCGGCTTGTCTGCGTGCAGGAAGTGATTGGCCCCGGGGATCACTTCCGTGTGGACCGCGGGAAACAGCGCCTTGATCAGCCCGAAGTCCGCGTTTCTGGGGACATTGTCGACAGTGAGCGAGAGTCACATGATGAAAAGCACAATCTCACCCAGCAAAGGGGACAAAACTCAGTAAATCCACATTATGATATAGATTTTCTGAGTTTTGTCCCCTATGTGTCACCAACCGGTGGAATCGGGTGCTAGTCAGCTTTTGGGCATATGGAGATATTGGTAAAACGGTGCCATAATTATCACCTACATTGAAATAAACGAATTTTTAAAAAACAAAAAAACAGAGTAGCTTACTGAAGGATGACAAGGTGTATCTGTCTATATATGGATTTCTTATTTTTGGGTTCTAGTACCAGTTTTACAGCACTTGTAACAATAATAGGTCACATACGTGCTAAAGATTAGAGGTGCTATTAGAGAGTAACACCCCCCCCCCCCCAAAAAAAAAGGAGGAGAGATCAGGACGACAAATGTTTGATTGGGAAAAAGGAGCTAACCACACCAGAGTATCCCAACTTACATTTTTTTTTAAAGCAAAAATGTTTCTTTTCTTTCTTTTGATATGCATTTTTTTTCCTTAAATCTTTATTTTAAAACGTAAGGGAGAAAGTTAGTAGGAAATGGTCATTTTTACAGGTGATTGTCTTGGACAAGTGACCAATAGAGCACGCCTGACAGCGTTCACTTACTTGTAGTGGTCGGAGTCTCCACCAAATATAAAGAGGGTCGGCTTCGTGAAGGGCTCGGAGTCGAGTCCTGGCATCCTCGCCAGCTCGTCCATGTGGTCGATGATAGCGTCGAGATTTATCCGCCAGCCGATCTGCTGTGGCGCAAACTCTCGCAGGTTTGTCAGGAGAAATTCCCGCACCATCCGATCCTGACATGATAAAAACGTTCTGTATAAATACAACACAGTAAAAGCGTAGGCCAATACATCGCGACCTAAGTGCTTTCTAGTCGTATCTCATTTTTTTTTAAATGAAAATGTGACTTCTTCTAAACCTCACTCTTTGTTATGTACTGTTTTCACTGTTTTAAAAAAATGGAGATGTGACAAGAAAGCACTGAGGTCACGACATGATGTTACGGCAAATGAGACAAAATTTTCCAATTTTACTAAGCTTCTCACAATTTCCCCTTCCGCCTAAAATTCTCTCTTTCATGCTCCAGCCTGTAAGTCAAACACCCCACAAAAATTTAAAGGTCAGGCATGAAAGTTTATCCATAATCAACTTCCATATCCAGTGGATAATACCAAAGAAGGTTAATTAAAGAATTCTCCTTTTCCCCCACTTGCCAACTTCTTTTTTTCGTTTTCCAAAACTTAATTCAAGAACCATACAAGAAAGAAGGAAAACAATGAGGGGAAGGAAACGGGATGAACAAAACTTCAAGTACTTCAAAGCTTTTTTTTTTTGGGGGGGGGGGGGGGGCTCTCGTGGCCTAGAGGTTAAGGTGTTGGCCTCTCATTTGAAAGGTCCCGGGTTCGAATCCGGGTAGCGACCGAAAAATTTTCTTTTCTAAAATTGTCTCCTTTCACCTCCTTTCCAGCTCTCTAGCAATGTTCTGTTGTCTGCTTTCATTTCCACTTTCTACCCCCACCCCCTCACCTCCTTTGCCCCTTCCTCTGGGTTCCTAACTCTTTCTGCAGCCTTTCTACTGCTACTCCTTGGCTCCTCCTTACTGTTGTCTTTCTGCCACACCCCTGATCTTCTGGTAGGAAAGATCTACACCTAGCCTTCTCGGACAAGGGCGAAAAATCTCGGAGGGCCTGTGTGCAAGTTGCGCACGTTAAAGATCCCTTGGTGGTCTAAAATCGATAAGAGTAGGCTTCGGCCGCCACCCGCGAAAAATTCAAAATTTCCTACCAACTGAAAATATTAGGTGTGTCCCGCACGCTCATATGACCTTATGCAGTTGCGAGTGCCGTAAAACACTTTACAAAAAAAAAAAAGCTTTTTTTTTCTCAGAAATGTTGGCTCAAAGGGAGGCAACCATTAAAATATATTTCTTATGCCACATGTTTGTTTTTGTACATGTTTTACAGCCCTTACAACTGCATAAAAGATCATATTGAACTTGAACGTGCAAGCCACATGTTACAGCATCAAAGAAGTTGTCAATCACTACCAGGAAGTGAAACAAATTTGAAGGTAGGTCACAGTAGGCTACGTAAAAATTACATTTTTTAAAATAGTTTTTGCAGCTCTTAAAATATATATGTGAGGCAGCGTGGTGGAATCAGGCTCTCATCAATTTTTGGGCATGTAGAGTTATTGGTATCATCTGAAAGCTTGTTCACTTGTCTTTATTTGGATGAAAAAAATATCCATTTATCCTGAATACAAATCGAGATATTTGCGAAAGAAGGAGGTGGGGGTCCCCTGTTTTCAGAGGTAAAATTAGTGAGAAAATGGGCGCCAAAGATTAGTCATTTCCTTAGCTTAAGAGTCTGTGGAAACAGAAAATTTACAATTTTTGTGCCCTTAATCAACGTTTTTCAGAAAAATTCACACAGAAATTACTTCTCTAATGGGCATGAAAGGTGTTGACCCAAACAACAAAAATTTGATAAAAATTCACAAACCTGCGGAAAAATGCAAGTTTCTTCACTTTGATTATTTTGACGAGAGCATGATTCCACCACGCTGCCTCACATATTTACTCCCTTTCTTCCCCCCCCCCCTTCCCTAACACACACACACACACACAAAAACACCCCAGCATACCTGAACCACCGAGGAGAGCTGTAGCCTAGCCTCGGCGCGGGCCTTCACGACACTCAGATGTTCCGGAAGCTTCACGTTCCTCATGGCCTCGGCGTAGTCCGTCATCCTGGACATGTGGGGGCTGGGGTTCGGGGCCACGTCTGCCACGATCAGAGCAGTCAGAGCGTCGGGCTGTTGGGACAGTCACAGGTCATGACGTGCGAGGAAACCAAAATGTTACTTTTGTTATAAATTGTCTGATGTACATTCTTACCTTCTGAACATAGCAAATGAAAGAGGGGGGGGGCGGAGGGGAAGGTTGTCAGTCTGGTGGAGATTCTGGGTTCGAGCCTCAGGCCTGACGTTGTGTCCTTGGGAAAAGCACTTTAACCGAATGTATTATCATTATTATTATTATTATTATTATTATTATTATCATTATTATTACTATTATTATTATTAAAATTATCATTATCATTATCAGTTGCATTTTGCTCTGAGATCCACCTTTCCCTGCGACCAACCAACCTGCCTAAGCGCAGCTGTCATGGCCGACTTGCCGCCCATACTGTGGCCCAGGACGACCGGTCGGTCAAGCTTCAGGTCGGCCATCAGTCCCAGCAGGTCCTCCGCCATCACACTGTAGTTCATCTCTGGCCGGTGGTCGCTGTCGCCGTGGTTACGGGCATCGTATGGTACTATCTGAGAATGAAATGAAGAGAGTGATAATGACAATTTTTATTAGTCTCACTAGGTTTTGTTTTAGTAGAGGTTTTACGGCGCTCGCAACTGCATAAGGTCACATATGAGTGCCAAGGGGTGGATGTCAACAGATAAGTCCAAACGGGGCATCAGGCTTACCCTGCTCACCTCTCTAGCTTCAACAGCACAAAGTCTGCTTCGACTATCAAACAAGCCAGAAATAGAGGGTCACAAGAGAGTGACAAACATACAAAAGAAGTAGAGGGAAAATGACGATCGTAAGGATGAGGGAATAAAAAGCAGCAGTCCCCCCCCCCTCCCCTATGTTGTTCCGGCACAGTGTGAGCATAACATGGATAAACCAGCCCATTTACAATTCTACTGTGCATAAGAACATGTTAATATCCACCCTTTGGGAATGACCTAAAGACTCTTCAGTCAATGGCACTGCCATGAGGGGGCTCTCACAAGGTGAAATTTGTTTTGGTCATTCATAAAGGCAGTGGTGTTACAAAGCTCATGTGCACTCACGCATACACATAAGAAGGCACATTATTATTAAATACATCATGTACTACCAGATGAAACACCTCAGCTCCATTAACATTCTCCCTCTCTGGTAGATTCATTTGTACCTTTCTTCCATTTTGTGACAACTGTTTGCATATGCTGTGGAAATTTCCTCTTGCTCCGAATAAACCGTGCAGCATGAAGATCGGACGTTTATTTCTGTCAACTTTGTGGTCCTCTGAGAGCCCAGGGTATGTTGTGTAAGACAGTTCAATGTCCCTGAAATTGAAAGAAAAAATACATTACATCAATGTAGCAAGTACAGCCGTGATACAACTATCTATGATAGCCATCGATTGTTGGAGGAGAAAAGTGGACATCTTCTTTGGCAGGTGGGCATCTTACAGAGTGTCATTAGAATGAATAATATTAATAATGTTAAATACGGTAACTCAGGGGAGGAAATGGGAAGTGGCTGTTCACAAAAAGGTGCTATTGTCTGTTATTATTAGTCATTCTAGAGCAGGTTCAACTGTTCAACTGATACTTTTACTTTAGAAGTTGAAGTGGGAATCCTATTTATTATGAATCAATGATTTAACTTTTTAAGATGCTGTGTTTCTCACACAGTAAGATTTCCTTTTTCATTCTTAGACAAAGTCTTTCTGTTGGCACCATTGTTGTCTACACTGTGTGTTCATTGGGGGATCGGGTCGGGAGGGGGGGGTTTGCTGGCCAGATTGAGGGCGCAAAGAAGCTATCGTGGCACAAGCCGATCGCGCACAACTCGTCATCTCAAAAACAAACACGCATTTGTTTTCTTCAGGCAACGAGTCGGGCAATCGACCAGTCCCGACCCGATACCATCCGCAATGGCTGGTATCAGTCTAGACTTTATGCTATGCAATGGAATTCTCTATAGCATTTTAGACCTGGCCATACCAGATCTATGATGACATTATATCGGCAATGTGTATGATGCAACTAACTGAGGCTGAGGTCGCGGTTAAATGTAACTTTAACGATGATTTTGCGTTTTTAATCTTTCTAAGGCTACAAAAACGAAAATGTAGGTTTAAAATGCTAGTCTCTGAACAAGCCAGCGGCCTTACTTTTCGCCAGTGGTGCCAGAAGTGCTCGTAGATCTTGTTCTCGAAGCAAAAAAAACCAGACCTGGTGAACCAGTATTCTGTTCCATCAGACATTTTCTGAGATGTTTCCGAACAAGGCCTCTTGCAGAATTTAAGGTTTTCACTGCGTTTGAGAAAAACATTTTCTAAGTTATTCCCGGTGTGCCTGGTTAAAATAAAAACAAATTAGGAATAATTGCAACAATGTTTAGCAACAGTGTTGTGAAGTGAAGGGCGAAGGATCTAAAACGAAAGTTGCGAGTAACGAGAAAATCAGGAACGGTCACTGTCGATTATAAATCCAAAAGCTCGCTAGTTACTCCCCTTCCACAACAACATTCCTTCTTCCGTTGCCACAGTAAACCTTCGTCCTGTTTGCCCGCATTACCAACCAAAGTACCACATTATTTGGTGACTGAGTGAGGCATTCGTTCTCCTAAAGCTTGATACACGATGTCAAAGGCTAAAGTGATTGTGGTCGGACCTCCCGAGGTCAGTGAAATAAATAAATGTCTTGATCCATGTGATGTAGATCTAGATCTAGATAGTAAAGGCTAAAGGTGTCAGTGTCAACAATCACAGAGACTGCCTACTTAGTACCGGTACCGTTACATTACGGTTACATACACTGTACTGTGTGTATTGCTGAGAATGTTGTTACCTTTTACTGAACAATAGGCTATTAGATTTAGGTCTAGATCTAGATCTAGTACGGCGTCAATCAAATTTCGAAAGCAAAATATTTCATTGTTTCTGATTTCTGGCCTGGGAATTAACGGGGCACAATTCCCCTGATTATGTTCAGTTAGGATTTCGGGCGCTTTTTCGGTAGTTCCCACCCCGCAATTGTTATTCACGGGTTTTGGCCCCAAGAGTAGGGGGGTTTCAGGGGGGCTTGCCCCCTGACCTAACAAAAATAGGAAGGGGGGTTTCAGGGGGGTATGCCCCCCTGAATTTTACCACAATTTAATGTTTTGCTGTTGTTAGGTTTGATATCTTAGCTCACCGCGAATCAAACGTATAGATCTAGATCTAGAAGTAGGTCAGGCTCAAATAAGGGGGGTGGGAACTACCGAAAAAGCACCGGATTTCGGAAGGCATGGTAACCCTCCCATACAGCCGTACCTTCATGATAGTAGTATAACATCAAACTTTGCAATCGTCAACTTAGGGTGGTGGTGTTTTTGTTGTGTACCTTAGTTAGTAAATCTTTAAGCTGCCTATTAGACCTACTTCACCTTCACCTAGTCTGGCTGACTGTTCCTACACAACTGCAGATATTGTAACCGGCTTAGAGTTCTTCCGCTTCTCTTGGTCCTCAGTTTTTTTGTTGTAAGATTTTCCAGTCATGATCTCGACCGGTCCACTCGACTTTGATCTTGTTTTCTCTTCTTTTCCTCGCTGTCTCTTCATCTCCTCTTTGCATTGTTCCCTGTAGGATATTATAGTTTTTGGCCAGTCCAGATGATCATTAGGCCTATGTATTGTGTCTGTTCCACTTCAGTTTACATCTTTTCACTGAAGATAGGCTAGGTCTTCATATATATATGGCCTGATGGCATTTCCAATTCTGTCTGGTTTTTCGCATACTTAATCTTACAGTTATTTCTTTACAAGACGCTGTTCAAAGAGTTTGTGAAAGCACCTACTGTCCAACTACCACTAGGATTTTTTTTAAAGCCATCATTTTGTGTCTACACCTTAGAAAAAGTTGCTTTAAAACTAATTGGTCATCTGAAGAGCGAACAATTTTACTTTAGTACCGGAAAAAAAACTTTCTATAATTCGCCTGTCAAATAGAAATAAAAATCCTCCCGAGAGCGCTGTGTTGTTTGAATTCGGGGCAGTTTAATTTCAATTGAGAATTGTGAACATTAGTTAGTGTTACAAAGTTTTATAAAACACTTTTTACAGGTCAAATTTATTACAGCTGTATGGGGGGAGAAAAAGTGGAAGAACTCTCTGTCTCCTAATTCCCTCTACACTTGTTTCAAACAGCACCACATTAACTTTACAGAAACGGTGCGTTGCTGTACTATATAATAATTAATAATCACATGCAGCCATTTTTAAGGACGGAGAAGAAATTGAGGGTCTAAATAGGGGTCAGGGTAGGTCGACTGGGAAGTGGATGGGAGTTTTTGACTAGTGGACAACAAAATCGACACACTGCATGCACTGATTGTTTGGTTGTTTTGTTTTTTGGGGGGTTTTTGTCACTCTCATAAAATAGGCTCTGCCAAGGGAATAAATGGCCAAATGGTTTTCAATTGGTACTTGTTTCCCACACAAGGTTTAATAATAATAATAGATAGCTTCTTTGTATTAACACAAATCCCCGCTCAACAGCAAGCTCTATGCGCTTCACAATCTATACTAATACCCCAGCAGACCTGAGAGCATTCTGAAACAACCTCAACTTCCTGGGAAGCATACAGTGCAAGCAGCCATTTATAGGCGCTAAAACACTAAAATACTGACAAGATCTTTCGCTGTCTTTGGCTGGGTACCCATTCCCACCTGGGTGAAGTGAGGAAAATTTGTGTATAGTGCCTTTCCCAAGGACACAACGTCGGGCCCACGGCTTGAACCCCCGAACCCGCAACCTCACGATTACGAATCCGGTAGCCTAACCACTAGGTCACCGACAACCTGACGATTACGAGTCCGGTAGCGTAACCACTAGGTCACCGACAACCTCACGATTACGAGTCCAGTAGCCTAACCACTAGGCCACCGACGCCACAAGGTTTAAGCATCTGTCTAAATTTAATGAAAACAGCATTATGACTGGTTCTGTTTCACAGTATCTAATACAATCACATGATAGGCCTAGTGGTGGCCACTTAAAAACTAAGTCATCAGGGGGCAGAATAAGTAGAATCTTAAAAGCTGATTCCAAGTCCTGCCCGTTGGCTTCCCTTGTTTGCTTACTTTATGATGAAATAATGAGCCATAGACGGCACCGACTCCTGAGGGAAGATTGCGAGGAAATTATCTCTTGTGTTGTCTTTTCATTTCTTCAGTCAGGGAAAACATTTTTGTGCAACTTCCTGGCAGACGCCACAGAGTTTTCCGGAGGAGAGTATCATCCCACCCAGGGTGTCAGGTACGATTGGGAGTTCTTTTTCTTCTTCTCAGTCGCATCACTCTGTCTATCATATTATGTGTCACTATGCAGTGGAATCAGACGCTCGTCAATTTTTGGGCATGTGGAGTTATTCGTATCATATACAGCTTTTTCATTTGTCTATCTTTTGATGAAAAAAACATCCGTCTATTGTGAATTGAAGTCGATGTAATTGCGATTGAAGGAGGTAGGGTTGCCTGGTTTCAGAGGTTTAATTAGAGAGAAAATGGCCACCAAAGTTGATTTATTTCCTTAGCTCGAGACTCCGTGGAAACTGAAAATTTACATCTTTTATGCCTTTAATCAACGTTTTTCAGGAAAATCCACAAAGAAATGAGTTCTTTAATGGGCATGAAAGGTATTGAGCCAAAAAACAAAACTTCGATAAAAAATTTCTTAACTTGCTGGAAAATGCCAGTTTTTCAGTATTTCACCACGCTGCCTCACATAATATATCTTTAACAAAAGTGGAGATATCTGTCACTGAAGGGGGTGGGGGGTTCGCCTGTTGTATGCGGTAAAATGAGCAATAACAAGGAAACCAAAGTTTGGCGTCTCCCCAAGCTTGGGTGTCCGTGGAAACTACAATTTCACATTTGTTGTGCTTTTGATAAACATTTTCAGGTAAATTCTACACAGAAATAATGTGTATTTAAATGGAGATACAAGGTGTCAAGCCAATAATCAAATTCGATTTTAAAAAATTGCAGAATGGGCGAAAAAACACGGGTTTCTTTGACTTCGCTATTTTGACAAACACCTGATTTCACCATGATGTCACACATTTGTCAGGCAGCGTGGTGAAATCAGCCGCTCGTCAAAATAATGACACTGAAGAAACTGGCGTTTTCCTCCTGTTTGGCAACTTTTATTGAATTTTTTATTTTGGGCTCAACACGTTTCATGTCCTTTAGAGAACACATTCGTGTGTGTGGATAGTGATAAAAAACCTTGATTAAAGGCGCACAAAAATGTAGATTTCAGTTTCCACGGACTCACAAGCTAAGGAAATAACTAAACTTTGGTGGCCATTTTCCACTAATGTTACCTCTGAAACCAGATAACCCTGACCTCCTTCATTCACAAATATCTCGACTTCTGTTCAACATAGATGGATATTTTTTTTCCACCAAAAGCAAGGTAATTGAACAGGCTTTAAGATGAGACAATTATCCCAATATGCACAAAAATTGCCAAGCGCCTGATTCCACCACGTTCGTAGCACATTTATATTGGTGACACATTACCATTTTTATGTGACCTGTCGTATCCTAATGGGTCTACCGTGTCACTGTGTTTTACCCGTACAGTTCGTAAATATCATTTTATGTCCGGTTCACTCTGAACAGAGCAAACACCAACCCATTAATATCTGGAATTTCTTTACATTCATGAGATTATGGGAAAGTATGAATGGGCCCGTATGAATGAAACTGTAATTTAAATCTTGTTTTGTATATTGTGAAACGCCTAGAGCCACCACTGGGGGGTGGACACTATTGAAGTGAGAATTATCACTATATTTGTTCTTATTATTATCTGAATCTCTGGAAAAGGAATTTATCATTCTCCTTCACGAAGTCTTTTTCCCAAAGGGGGATATTAACATATTCTTATGCACAGTAGAATTGTAAATGGGCTGATTTATCAATGTCATGCTCACACTGTGCCGGAACAACATGGGGGAACTGCTGCTTTTTCTTTCCTCATCCTTACTATCGTCTTTTTGCCTCTACTTCTTTTGTATGTTTGTCACTCTCTTGTGACCCGCTATTTCCGGGGTGCCTTGATAGTCGAAGCAGACTTTGTGCTGTCGAGGCTAGAGAGGTGAGCAGAGTAAGCCTGATTCCCTGTATGGACCTCTCTGTTGACATCCACCCCTTGGTGCTCATATGACCTTATGCAGTTGCAAGTGCCATAACCCTTACTAAAACTAAACAAAAAAGTCTTTTGTAAAATTTTGTTAATATTTTAAATGCATCAATCATAGAAGGAGAATTGCTTAAGAAGTTGTATGAACTGCTATCTTTAAAAGAGAGGACGGGTGTGAGTGGTTGGCGGGTGCTCTGGTGGGGTTTGCTCCTTCTTTCCTATCAAAATTCTAACATCCTTATCTCCCCTCCTTCTATTTTGTGTTTGTTACTCTCTTGTAACACCTCTAATCTTTGGCACTTATATGACCTTAATGTGTTGCAAGTGCCGTAAAGCACTTACTAAAACTTTTTAAAAAGAGAACAGGTGGGTTTGTTTTTATAATGTAGGTGTTCTTAACGGCCTCATCAAACACAATTTAGATCATTTAGGAGGCGGGCTACCAGCCCTGCCTGTCAGGATCAGGCCAGGCTGACAAGGATACAACACATCCCAGCAGACAGACTCGGGTACTCAATAGATATTCTCCCCGCCCCATTCAGGAATCAAACTCGGGTGTGTTGCATGCGGCAACAGAGGGCCTTATCACCGCTACGCAGGTTAGGACAGGTCACAGGTGCCTTAACCCTTCGAGTCCCATGCGCATATATTTTCAGCAGCGCTTGTACCTCCCACCGTCCTGAGAGCATTTCTCAGTTTCGGGGGTACCTTCTTCTTCTTCTTCTTCTTCCTCGTTCTCGAGGGGGTACTAAATGTGCTCATTTTTCGAAATTAGAAACCTAATTAAAGTTGAATCTTCCTAACATTTGTTCCTTTACCTTGAACACTTTGCTGTCACATCTCGCCAGTCAGCGATGTTTACACCCCCCTCCCCCCTCCCCCCTCCCCCCAGTTTCTTTGGATTTTCCCCAAAATACTTTTGCCTTTGATGGCAAGGGTTTTTACGATATTAAGAGCTTGTGCTGGCAAAGTGTTATACATTGTTTTATGTTATTATCTAAACCTCATTACAAAGATATTACATCACTTTTTCTGAACTACTGCTGTATTGGCTGGGACTGGGGTTAGGGAGTGCACATAAATGGCTGGGGCTGGAAGGCTGAACTGATCGAGCCTGACAAAGTTTTATCTTATTAAAATTTTGTCTGTTGTGAATTCACAGGATTTTAGAGTTTGAGACGAGTGCCGCCGATTCTGGACGCTCCAATCTGGACGTGGAATTGTGGGACTGCAGCGGTGACCGTAGGTGAGTTGCTCAAGGTCACTCGTCTTTTCCTTCGTCACGATAATCTCAGGTCTGTTTGTGTTTTGTTGGGTGGAACGCTTTAACAAAAACCAAAAATCAAAACAATCTTTTATAATATTGTCATCGTAATATTGTTATCGTTAGACGACTCTTTGCCATGTCATACAATGACCCCGTCACAAATGAGGAAGTGCGCAGTAGAGGGAAACAACACAGGAGCCACCATTTACACTTGCTGTCTTCTGTGAAGCCAAGAAAAATAAATTGGTATGGTCATGTAGCAAGATCGTATGGTCTGTCCAAGACCATTCTTCAGGGAACTGTGCAGGGAGGAGAGAGAGAGGAAAGCTAAGATAGGGATGGACCGACAACATTGCGGAGTGGACAGGGAAATCCTTCACCCAAACTCCTCAAGCGTTCGGAAAAAAAACGTGAAAAGTATAGGCACCTGACGAGGCTCTGTATGTGTATTATGGGATCAGTACGCAGTGAGCATCATAATAACATAAATGAGTTTCTCCTCCCAGTTTTTTATGCATCGTAAAAGTGTTCTGTTACCTCAGTGGGAATCATGCTGGCCTACAAAGCGGGCGGCCGTGGCTTCAATCCCAGATTGGTTATTCTTGAACACGGATTATTTTTTATTAATTTTTCAAGGCTCTCAACTCATTTGGCTTGTTCGTCTCAGAGACAAACATTAAATTTGGAGGTCCCATATCTTAAATAGCCTAATGGTGTTGAAAAAGACATGACATCGGTGATCATGGTTCTCCATTCATTCCTTTGCTCGGATGCTCTTTAAAAAGTTTCCCTGACCTTTCCGCTTCACTCTTTTGATTAGGCATTAAACCTTTACGTATATGCCATGTAGGGAACTCCCTGATCTGAGAAATGAAGGTTCTGTTTTCTTCTGTGCTTGTCCCAAGGTTCGAATCCTGCTGGCCGGCCATGGCCCGGGACGCGAGTGGCGCCATCTTTGTGTACAACCCTGACCAGTCGAACCACGACAAGGAGCTGGACACCTGGTAGGATGACCGTCATTATAGCCCATTTTATTTCTGTTTAACACTAACAGTATCGAAGACTCATATAGTGAAACACTGTTGGGTACCACTCCAGTTTAGAACGCTGAAGCCGACTTAAAAAATTCAGAGAGGTTCCTCAACCATTCAGCTATCATATAGAGTGACTTAATTTGTTATTTATTTCAGTGCAGTGCATCCGTTCGTTGTTTAACGCTTTGCCATCATATTTAGGGGAAAATCCCCAGAAACTTGGTGGTAAACATCACCAATGGACGAGGTGAGGCGGCAAAGTGTCAATTATGTTTAGTTTTCCCGAATGCGTCTGCGAGTCAAGTCTCCAGCTGTAGTAAGCACGTACTATGGTCTGGCAACTAAAGTCACCGACGGTACTGTAAATGCTAAACTCTTGAAGTACCAAACGTAACTACTTGTTTTGCCTGAATGATGGTTGTTATAAGACTGGAAATAATGTAACCTCAGTTCTTGTGTGAAACAGATCTAAAGCTGTTGTAAAGTTTAAAGTTTCTGTGCCAATATCTGGATCGAAAACAACAACTGTGCCTGTATTATTAGAATAATGATGATAGAAACATTTCTAGGTGACA